GCCTTAATCCACTTGACCATCACGACCGGACATAATGAGGTGATAGCCGAGGCTATTTGAACCACCCCACCGCCGGCACTCGGATAGTAATCTTGGGCATAGCATTTTACCAAAATCACCTCATTCTTTGGGGCACACGTGAGGAACACAAATGCGAACAAGCCTGAATGGTCCCCAGGACAATATGCAACTGAAAACTCACACCCCAGAAGTGACTCAAACCCATACTCCCAGAAGCAACGCAACTGGTATGTACAAGACGCCTTAATCCACTTGACCATCACGACCGGACATAATGAGGTGATAGCCGAGGCTATTGAACCACCCCACCGCCGGCACTCGGATAGTAATCTTGGGCATAGCATTTTACCAAATCACCTCATTCTTTGGGGCACACGTGAGGAACACAAATGCGAACAAGCCTGAATGGTCCCCAGGACAATATGCAACTGAAAACTCACACCCCAGAAGTGACTCGAACCCATACTCCCAGAAGCAACGCAACTGGTATGTACAAGACGCCTTAATCCACTTGACCATCACGACCGGACATAATGAGGTGATAGCCGAGGCTATTTGAACCACCCCACCGCCGGCACTCGGATAGTAATCTTGGGCATAGCATTTTACCAAATCACCTCATTCTTTGGGGCACACGTGAGGAACACAAATGCGAACAAGCCTGAATGGTCCCCAGGACAATATGCAACTGAAAACTCACACCCTAGAAGTGATCGAACCCATACTCCCATTGTCCTGGGGACCATTCAGGCTTGTTCGCATTTGTGTTCCTCACGTGTGCCCCAAAGAATGAGGTGATTTGGTAAAATGCTATGCCAAGATTACTATCCGAGTGCCGGCGGTGGGGTGGTTCAAATAGCCTCGGCTATCACCTCATTATGTCCAGTCGTGATGGTCAAGTGGATTAAGGCGTCTTGTACATACCAGTTGCGTTGCTTCTGGGAGTATGGGTTCGAGTCACTTCTGGGGTGTGTGAGTTTTCAGTTGCATATTGTCCTGGGGACCATTCAGGCTTGTTCGCATTTGTGTTCCTCACGTGTGCCCCAAAGAATGAGGTGATTTGGTAAAATGCTATGCCCAAGGAGTGCCGGCGGTGGGGTGGTTCAAATAGCATCACCTCATTATGTCCGTCATTTGGATAAGGCGTCTTGTACATACCAAATGGGTTCGAGTCATTCTTTGGGGCACACGTGGGGTGTGAGTTTTCAGTTGCATATTGTCCTGGGGACCATTCAGGCTTGTTCGCATTTGTGTTCCTCACGTGTGCCCCAAAGAATGAGGTGATTTGGTAAAATGCTATGCCCAAGATTACTATCCGAGTGCCGGCGGTGGGGTGGTTCAAATAGCCTCGGCTATCAGCTCATTATGTCCGGTCGTGATGGTCAAGTGGATTAAGGCGTCTTGTACATACCAGTTGCGTTGCTTCTGGGAGTATGGGTTCGAGTCACTTCTGGGGTGTGAGTTTTCAGTTGCATATTGTCCTGGGGACCATTCAGGCTTGTTCGCATTTGTGTTCCTCACGTGTGCCCCAAAGAATGAGGTGATTTGGTAAAATGCTATGCCAAGATTACTATCCGAGTGCGGCGGTGGGGTGGTTCAAATAGCCTCGGCTATCACCTCATTATGTCCGGTCGTGATGGTCAAGTGGATTAAGGCGTCTTGTACATACCAGTTGCGTTGCTTCTGGGAGTATGGGTTCGAGTCACTTTGGGGTGTGAGTTTTCAGTTGCATATTGTCCTGGGGACCATTCAGGCTTGTTCGCATATATATATATATATATATAGATATATATATATATATATATATATATATATTATACTGTATATATTTGCACATTAGCGTGTGAATACATGTGAATGTATAACCGGTTACATTCGTGCATTTATAAAACCAATTATATATTCAAGGAACTTATCTGATTATTGCCTCGATTTTTCTATCATATTCCAAAGGCAATATGAAATTGATATTCTCAAGGGCTCTCGACATAATTCAGGATACATGTCGGGTGAAAGTCAGAGTATCAATTATTCCAAATCCGACCTATCCAATGGCTCTGAACTTCGTATAAAAGAGAAGAAATTTCATTGTTCTATCCGTTATTAACAATTCTGCTTAAAAGTTATATATCTAAAGTGTAATAGAGGCAAATTAATTATATATATATATATATATATATATATATATATATATATATATATATATATATATATATATATATATATATATATATATATATATATATATATATGATTGGAAGATTGTACCCCAGTCCGCCTGGTCCAGTCTTCACATGTGTAGGTAGACACGCCTTAGTTCACCGAGGGCCTCAAACCTTCGGCTACCCTCACCTGGTTTTGCCCGCCAGTCGAAGCGGTTTACCGGGGTGTGGCCGCTGTTGCCTGCAGACAGCTGCTAGGAGCCACAGGTGAGAGTTGAGTGCAGGTGGGGACCAAAGCAAGTGAACCACCCGAAGGTGCGACTGTTTCCCTGTCAGAGGTGCTACCCCGCCCTGTCACCCCAGACACCCCTTATGGACTATATATACTTGGAAATTATATGAGGGTAAGGATTTAGGATTGGACGAAGGGAAGAAATGGTGCCCAACCACCTGGACGGTCGACGGATTGAACGCCGACCTGCAAGAAGCAAGACCGTCGATCTATCGTCCTTTCCAAGTGTCTGGAGCATTTTGTGTTCAATGACACCATGGTCACACTTGACCAAAGCTTTTGCAAAACCTGTGCATATTACATCAATGTTTTGCTTGCCTTCCATGGCAGAGGCTTCGGCAAAGTGGTCTACCATCTGTGAGAGGTAAGAGCGTCCTGCTCTGAACCCCTTGTTGTCCAGGGCTATGTAGGCACTGTGATTCCATTTGTTTTGTGAACCTACTACCAAGCATTTTTTTAAAGTTGTTTTTCTGATGTACAATTTTAGAACTATAATTTCTTGCCTCTGCTTTACTACCTCCTATGTGGAGTGGCGCAATCTCCACTGATTTAAGTATGTCGAGGGATTATACCAGAATCCAGGCTCCGTCTCAAAAAAGATGTTTCGGGCCTCTTCTAGTTTTTTTAATGCAGTTTTGATGAATATTCAATTTCAGGACTCTTGGCCTGGTGGAGAGTATATAGACATGCTGGCTAGGGCTACTTTATTATCCAGTGTGGTTAGAGTGATATCTGACACATGGTTCGATGTTGATAACAACCATTGAGAATTTGTATGTATCTGTAATGTGTTCAGGGGTTCACGTACCGTACTGAAGCCTCAGTATTTCAATCATTTCTTCGTTGTCATCTGTGAAGGTTCCATCACCCTCGTGCAAGGAACCAATACTAGAGGTAGTTTTTGTCCCAGATTTAACATAGGAGGAAAAATAATTTTTAATTCCTCCCTATTTCACTAATCAACTCATGAAAATTTCACCATCGACACCATAATTGGCGCCATCACAATCATTAGCATCATCGTCAACATCATCGACACAGTAATAAGTAGTATTGTAATTGGCACTACCCTCACCTTAATTAGCACCATTCTCACCCTAATTACCACCATCGCTGACACCATCATTCTAAGCATTCTTACCTCAGTAGGAGCGGTCACATTAACATTCACCATCGCTAAACATCGTCCCATTCAACCTCTTTTTCTTCCCATTAAACAGTCACTTGCCACAAACTTCCGTTTATATTGTTATCACTCCTCTTCGTTTTGTGATTAGAGGTGTTATATTTCTGCTGTCACGTGTTATCTCGAGATATCAACATTAAACGAACAATTATCCACACTTCATGCTTATGCTACGTTTATTGCGAATTCACCCTTTCCTTTCTCTCTCTCTCTCTCTCTCTCTCTCTCTCTCTCTCTCTCTCTCTCTCTCTCTCTCTCTCTCTCTCTCTCTCTCTCACTCACTCTCTCTCTCTCTCTCTCTCTCTCTCTCTCTCTCTCTCTCTCTCTCTCTCTCTCTCTCTCTCTCTCTTCCTCAGTATTTCTTGGAGCGAAAACTAGTTTTGCTCTGGAGATGCAGCCAGGGAAAAGCCATAAATAAAATTAAGCATGTCATATTTCCCAATCTTTTGTGCTGGGCTCGATAAATCAAGCATAGGAAAATAGAAAACATTATTTTGCAATTCCGGGATGACCGTCCGATTCTTCTTTTGCTTAATGTCTTTCTCATCCTTCATGAGTGCGTGTGCTCACCTAGCTATGCTTACGGGGTTGAGTTTTGGCTCTTTGGTCCCGCATCTCAACTGTCAATCAATTGGTGTACAGGTTTCTGAGCTTACTGGGCTCTATCATATCTATATTTCAACCTGTGAATGGAATCAGCCTCCACCACATTACTGCCTAATGCATTCCATCTGTTAACTATTATACTGAAAAAAAGTTCTATCTAACATCCCTGTGGCTCATTTGGGTACTCAGTTTCCACCTGTGTCTCCTTGTTCGCATACCACAGCCTGACAGCTGACAGCCTGGCTTGACAGCTGAATGGACAGCGCTCGGAATTCGTAGTCCTAAAGTTCCGGGTTTGATCCCCGGTGGAGGCGAAAACAAATGGGCAGAGTTCCTTTCACCCTGATACTCCTGTTCACCTAGCAGTAAAAAGGTACCTGGGAGTTAGACAGCTGCTATGGGCTGGTTCCTGGGGAAAGAGGGGTGTAACAAAAAGGATGCCTGATCGAGGACCGGGCCGCGAAGACGCTAAGCCCCGAAATCATCCCTAGATAACCACCCGCATTAAACAGTTTATCTTTATCTACCCTGTCCATCCCTCGTAGAATAGTACAGGTAGTGATCATGTCCCTCCCCCTAACTCTTCTGTCTTCCAGTGTTGGGAGGTCTTTCAGTGTCAATATGTTGTAAATCGGTAAAAGGAATGAGCAGGAAGGAGGCGTCGCTCTCACTCATCATCCTGTTCCGTCCCCTCCTCTTGCCCCCACGTTCAGCTCAAGCAAATTTTTATTACCTGGCAAAGTACTAGGAGGAGGAGGAGGACAGAGCAGGTCACGGACAATGTGTTGCTCTTCATCTTGTTGCGGAGGACGAGGAGCCCTCTGCTGGCCCATTTCTAAAATCGGTATTTCATGGTCAGACGGAGCGTGACTCGAAGCAGAAATCAGTTCGGAGGACAAGAGGAACCTAAACACTCTTTGAGAATTGTTCTCTAGCTCTCTCTCTCTCTCTCTCTCTCTCTCTCTCTCTCTCTCTCTCTCTCTCTCTCTCTCTCTCTCTCTCTCTCTCTTTCTCTGTCTGTCTCTCTCTCTCTCTCTCTCTCTCTCTCTCTCTCTCTCTCTCTCTCTCTCTCTATCTTGCACTCTTGCTTTCTCGCTATCCTGATTTCCCATCTGATCCTACTGCTTTATCAATATTAATAGAGTATATCAATAAAATAGAATGTTAATCAGTCTACAATGGTTACCAAAGGTAGTCTTCAATAATTCTGAAAATATTAAAAAAGATTCTAACAGCATTTCTTTTATTCATCTTTCAAAACTGTTGACCTATATATGAAAAAATCATAGCATATCAGCTGATATTAGGATGTAGTTAGCTCATTGGAGAGCTCTGGGTCTGGCATGTCTGTGGATGGGTGACCGCTTTCACACAGCTTTTGCAAGGAAGCAGTAAACACTGTATGTTTACATGATGAAGTCGTGTCTCTGTACCTCTGAATCCTCTGAAGCATCACCGCCATTAAAATCAGTATCTCGCGCTGAAAGAGACACTTCTCACTGAAGCTGACACCTCTCACTGAAGCTGACACCTCTCACTGAAGCTGACACCTCTCACTGAAGCTGACACATCTCACTGAAGCTGACACATCTCACTGAAGCTGACACATCTCACTGAAGCTGACACATCTCACTGAAGCTGACACCTCTCACTGAAGCTGACACCTCTCACTGAAGCTGACACCTCTCACTGAAGCTGACACATCTCACTGAAGCTGACACATCTCACTGAAGCTGACACATCTCACTGAAGCTGACACCTCTCACTGAAGCTGACACATCTCACTGAAGCTGACACATCTCACTGAAGCTGACACATCTCACTGAAGCTGACACCTCTCACTGAAGCTAAAGTCGCACATTGAACATGGTTTCTCGTCGTCAACCACCGAAAAAATATGTTTCTTTCACCGCTTAAGTTTTTGTTTTGTTTTTCAAATTGATATTTCGGAAAGAAGGTCCAGACCTTTGTCACATTGTTTCCTTGACCAGCACCAGAGAGAGAGCTATAATCCCATGGGGGGAAGAAGTTCCTCCAGGAGAGACTACAAGTAACTATACACGACCGAGTCGTCCCCAACAGGTAGTTTTCCTACGAGGGGGAAAGAAGTCGTTTACAAGTTGAGCTATGACTGTCTCATTCCCGGTGAGATACGACTCCCAAAGGAGGACCTGGCTTGAGTCCTAGAGCCATTGTCAGCTCCCTGAGGTCGACATGATCGCCATTGGGTCGCTCCCCTTTCCCTTACAAGAACTTCCCCTTACCCCCTCGAACTTAACCATCCCTCTTGGTCAGACCAGAGATTGTGGCCTACAATCTTTGAATGAAAATCGTTTCTCGGAATTCGCTATTTTGGGAATAGTTGCTAATGCGAACAATAAAGCTCCAGACCATTTATAAAATATATAGTCATTTGTATATTAATATTCATGTTATTCCTTGCTATAACTGCATTGTTGTTAGTGTTTATGTATTATCTTTCGATTAAACCATTCATGTTGCATTTTGTATTATTTAAAACATACGATTCATACCTACCAACAACGCCATGTGGTGTTCGTTGCACACATGATTCAAATTCAACATTCAGTTTGAAAAACTTTTAACCTAATAATTGACGCATTCTTTGGAACACATCTGTTAAAGATAAATATAAAATATTGTAATATATATAACCGTTACCACCAACGCTTATGGGATGGGTATTAGGTGCATAATAAAGAAAGAAATTTAAGAAATTGAATTGAACAATGCAGTCCTAAATGAGTGCCATGAGAGAGAATAGACATAGTGGCACTAGACATATGCTCAAGGTAAATGCCACGAAAAACATAAATGAGTAAAAAATTATGCAAAATGGATATAAAATGGCGTTTTTTAAAGGCGGAGAAAACAAAACACAGAACTTAAACGCCTCAATCTCTCTCGAGAACATCAGGGAAGGCTTTCGGTGAGTACCAAAAGCGATTGAACTGAAGCTGAAAAGAGAGAGAGCGAGAGAGTCCATCAACGGAATGGAAAGGGACACGAAATATTTATTCTCCTATGTAAAATGTGGAGCAAAAACTACATCTAGTGTTGGCCGCTTTGCGCAGAGGAGACGGAACTTTTCACTGATGACAACAAAGAAATACAACCCCATCCTCTTGGGGGAAAAAATAGCACCTGTAGGGTCTATTTGGTCGAAAGTACGAATATATAGAATTTTTAATTTTACAGAGTCCGGAAAAATATAGCAAAAACCAAACTTAATTTTGTGTAAACCTATTATAGCATTTATTTGAACTACAATAATCCTAAGATAGAATATATTAAGACTAGGAGGGGTTAGGATAGGTTCTATATATATGTTGCTGTTAAAAAGCTTTCCAATTTGGCCAAATTCAGTACTACAAAAGTCAAATTTCTACAAGCACTCTCATTTATGGAGGATAGGCTGAAGAAATGAACGAATAACAATGGTCACGGTAAGACTTGGTATTCAGTGAACATGTAAGTGCAATGAGTATTGTGTAAAGACAATGAGGGTCATGTAAATGTCATGAGGATCGACAACACAAATAAAACCTTCATGAACTGAACCCTAACCTTCACTCATGTTCCAAACGTCACCCAAACCCCACTGAACCTTCAAATACCCACAGATAGCATACCCAAGCACTCCACCTCTCCCCATTCCCTTCGAGTCGTGAAATTAAGAATTAAAAAAGCCACTATTACAAGTTTAAACATCCTAAAAAAGATAATTCAAAGAAAAGTTTTCAACAAAATAAAATCCCGGTCATCCACTTTGAAAAGCTCAGCTCCACTAGGTGCCGTATTTTCCACAGGAAATGTTTTCTTCATTCTCACATTCGACGTAGACAAAGATATGTACTATAATACTATATATATATATATATATATATATATAATATATATATATATATATATATATATTATATATATATATATATATATATATATATCTTTGCAGAGATCAATTGGGTTGTTACGAGGGTAGAAACTCTAGTGGATACAGCTTACCTCCAAACTCGTGAACACAAGGTGCACTCGCGTCAGGAAAATCCTTAATGTTCAGTTAAGTCAAGTTCCACATGAAGAAATCAAAACAGGAACTACACAATCAAACCACACTCTAGATGAAAAGTAACATAAAACCAGTCATCATGTCTCACGACCTTGCTTTTAAAGAACACAAAAAAGTTGATTTTACAATTGCAAGAAAAATTATAGTAGTAGGCATCCATCAGTCTCAGGAGACTATGGAGTTGTGCTCAGGTTGTCGGTCTGGAGTGGCCTCTCCAGGACGTAAAGTCAAAGTAGGTTGATACGGGGGAGAAACCCATAGATGCAAACAGCTCCACTGCTCACCACAGAGATGTGTATGGATGCTACACTGCCTGAGAGGGGAAACAAGGTGAGGTGATAAACCATATTAGAGTGGGGTCAATACCTGTGTGACTCTCGTAAGATGCGTTATTTCGGGTTGTGTTCGTCTCGCAGCATCCATGGGCATCCTCCTGGTTCCTTTACTCAGCACTTTTTCCCCCCACAATGGTCTTAAATAAATTTTATTTTGAGCTTCGTTAGTACCCAACATTGAACTTATTAATGTGTTATTGTTTGATTCAGTGTAATACACTCACGTATATATATGCCTGTATTCACGTGTATATACATATTACAAAATCAAATATAATAAATAATACAATTCAATAAAAACCAATAACTCAAAAGAGTTTAATTCGAATAATAATGAAAAATTCTGATGTAGATACTCCACTGCGAAGAAAGGATGGAAATATCAAATAATATAGTTGTAGACTAAAAAAATGGATATATATATATATATATATATATATATATATATATATATATATATATATATATATATATATGTCGTACCTAGTAGCCAGAACGCACTTCTCAGCCTACTACGCAAGGCCCGATTTGCCTAATAAGCCAAGTTTTCATGAATGAATGTTTTTTCGACTACCTAACCTACCTAACCTAACCTAACCTAACTTTTTCGGCTGCCTAACCTAACCTAACCTATAAAGATAGGTTAGGTTAGGTTAGGTAGGGTTGGTTAGGTTCGGTCATATATCTTCGTTAATTTTAACTCCAATAAAAAAATATTGACCTCATACATAATGAAATGGGTAGCTTATCATTTCATAAGAAAAAAATTAGAGAAAATATATTAATTCAGGAAAACTTGGCTTATTAGGCAAATCGAGCCATGCATAGTAGGCTGAGAAGTGCGTTCTGGCTACTAGGTACGACATATATATATATATATATATATATATATATATATATATATATATATATATATATATATATATATATATACACATTTAGGGGAACAAATGTAGCTGAAAATCAAATATAGAAACGCACAATAAGAGAAGAAAATACAGAATTAAAGATTGAACAAAAACTCCTACCGAGCATTTCAGGCACGAGGACCATCCTGACGTAAAAGTGAAATCAGTTTCAGGTTCCCGGAGTGCGGGAGGAAAAAGTTACAAACACAATGTGGAAAAAAACTTTGTATCCAGACCTCGCGGCCACCCACACACACACACACACACACACACACACACACACACACACACAGGAGGGAGAAAAACGGACAGAGAGAAAGATCTAGGACTTGATATCACGTCAAACTTGTCTCCTGAAGCCCAAATCAAAAGAATAACATCACCGGCGTATGCAAGGCTGGCTAACATCAGAACTACCTTTAGAAACCTGTGTAAAGAATCCTTCAGAAGCTTGTATACCACATATTAAAGACCAATCATGGAGTATGTGGCCCCAGCAT